AAAAAGAATGGGAAATTACTGTAAAATGCTATCCTTAGTCCTTAAGAATATGTCAAATGCTTTCTAAAAGTGCTAACAGGAACTCGATTGAATTAGCTCAGTTGGTAGCAAATTCCGAAGTTTGACAACTCTTGAGGGGTGTAAAGTGTGTCTACAGTGCGTTCTGCTATCTGTGTCTCCAGGTTCTGGATGTTAGCCTCAAGGTTTGTGTTGGGAATAAGATTAAGTGGCTGTTTAAGGGGGTGTCTAGAAGTATTTAGGATGCCGTAAGCCATTAGGTTACCTTTAAGACGCTGTTCTCTGATGCATAAAGTTTCAGTGATAAGAGGTGCTCTTCGTAAGGCTTGAATTTGAGTCCCTGAACTGAGTTCATGTCTCGCCGTTGGATACTTCCCAGAGTGTCTTTATCCTTTTGGAGTGAGGGAGGAAATACTATGCTTCAGTACTTTAAATGAGGACGAATAAAACTGCAGAAGATTATGTGTAGAGATCTTCCGTTGAACTGGCCGAAATGCACTTCAACCTTACAAGTGCAACGTTAGCTTGTAAGGCATTTTTTACACAGTTAGCGTAAGACATCAAATATTTAAAAAAACGCCCTAAGACCTTTCTCAACTTAAGATACCTGTAGAGAGGAGTTTCCTAAGTTTTTGATTGTCACGATACGATAAGTCAGTATAGAAAATGATTTGGCTTTCACGTAAGATCTTATAGACCGAGCAGTTACATCACGACAGATCTACAATCTTAGGATAAGGTCTATCACGAGAGCAGTACTAATAATGATGTAAACTATAAATTCTACAGAATATCTCGGAACCAGACGCAATTTTATGATTTTTAGGATAAAAACGCTTTAGAGATCTTGATGTTAGTGATCTTTAACTAGCTTTAACTGCATTTCACTGACACGGTTCTATAACTGGCTTATCGTAATGTCCCGGAAGTTCTGTTTTTATCTGACCGTATTCGAGAAGATCGGAAACTCATATCTGTTTACAGATGTGTTGAGTTTTGACAACATCGGTGACTTCATTTTTTATTTTTGTGCTCACGCATTGTATATTTGTTATATTGCTGGCTTTAGGCAGATTAGACGTGATATTTTTAAGAGAATATGTTTCCGGTATATTAAGTGCGTTTTCATTACTGGTTCGTGTTATCCCTTCAAACTCTTTTGAAGCAATACGATTCAAGAAATAATTTTTATTATTCCTATTATCGAGAATCTCTGTGAAATGTTGATGAGATACTCAAGCAAATTAAGAATGTAAATGCCAATTTGCAGCTTTCTTACATCAATCATATGGTTGCTGTGGCTATTTTCATTATTGTTCACCAAGAGATTATTCAATATTTCTGGAGTGTCAGGGGTTTGCCTATGCTTTTCCGTTTCTAGATGAATCAAATAGCACCAATCGTTAAAACTGCTGGATATAGTATCCATAGTCGTGTTATACAGTGTCTTTCTGGAATTCATCTGGAAGCCTGAAAGCAAGGGCTTTCATAACTTTCCGAGGCATGATGTGGAATATATTTGAAACAGGTAGATGAAGGAAAAAGTTTCTAAATAGAAAGCGGAGCGGAAAACTTAGGCAGAAGGTAGTTCTATAATCAAGGCCTGTGTTTCAAATAGGTGTGGAAATAAATCAAAAGACGTGCAAAACACATCTGGATGAATATTGGCTAGCATAGGAATCCAGGAAGTGCGTATCATCAACAGATATCAAATAACCAAGATTAACTCTAATACATCTACACCTCGACCTATAACCAGTGGTGTTGTGCAGGGTAGTGTCTTGGGTCCATTGCTCTTTATAATCTACATCAACAATATATGCAAGTGTTTTAGCACAGGTAAGACCTACCTCTATGCCGATGACTTAAAAGTAATCTATAAAACTGGCATTTGCGATTTACGCAGTACTATGCAAACAATCCAACATGAACTCAACATGGTAGACGACTGGTGCAAACGCTGGAGGCTAGAGCTCAACACAGAGAAATTCGGCTGGTTATGTATAGGGGACACATCTCTCAAAACGAAACTAACACTTAGCAATTACACACTGCCCAGACTGGCAACGGTAACTGACCTAGGGGTACATTACTCACACAGTCTTAATTTCTCTGAACACATCTCAGCCAAAGCATCCAAAAGGCGGAAATTGCTTGGTTTCATTCTCCGTAATTTCTATCAAAATGAATTTAAAATCCTTTTTTACAAAGTTTGTGTAAGACCTATCGCTGAATACTGCTCGTTCTTATTTTCCAACCTACGCCTATCTGATATACTAAAGGTGGAAGGAATACAACGAGACTTCACCCGCAAAGTACTTAAGACTGACTCGGTCATTGACTACAGTTCCCGATGCCTAATTTTAGGAATAACACCCCTTTGGAAGAGAAGGCTTAGGTCTAATTTGATTGTCTACTTCAAACTACTCAAAAACCTTACTTATTCAACATTTAAGATAATTCTTGCCCGAGATTCACATGAACACGGATTACGAAACAAAGTATCTACGGTCAAAGTTGAGAAATAGAGATCAAAAACTCGGTAAAACTTCTTCCTCACCAAGTATGCAATAATATGGAACAGTCTTCCCTCCGAAACTCGCATGGCAGATGAATTACATTCGTTTGTAAAACTGTTTGATCAAGCCCTCACTTGCACTGATCTTGCACGTACGAACACATCTGCGCCCCACTCAGACATCATAGGCTCTCTCCATGTCTAGACCAAAATAGACTTCAAGTTCAGTTTGCCTTATTTTTCCTACTTTGCAGTTGTATTAATTACTTTTTCCACCCCATTTCTTCACTTGAAGTAGACAGGTAACTCAATGGACCTATCATTACTGTTAAAATAAATAAATAAATAAATAAAGGGACACTCACTACCACCCTAAAACGTCAAGAGGACCGCACAATTGACTGCCTACAACCAGTGGTCTTGCATCTATGGAGCCTGTTACCAATCAACTGGTTAGGACAACAGAAAATAACATCAGCACCAAGTTACTGTGAGTCTCTTCCTGTTTATCCTGTATTAACTTTTTACTCTTCAGTACACTATGTTGACTAGCAATTAATATTATTTCTCCACTCGTTCCCATATCCACAACTCATATACTTCTATACTTTTTCCGCCTGCTTAAATAAACAACTATCCTACAATATACCCTTCTTAACGCTTATACTCTGATTGGCAAAATATACTTTATACTATAGTCAACAGAGGCACTGCATCGATGCTTTACCCACAGTACATAGCTTGTAACTGTCTGATAAGCTTGTAAAATGGTACTTATAGAAATAGTGCTTTCCAACAGTTTGTGAAACAGAGGATTGTGCGAGGTATGACGTATATACAAAAATAATGCTAAATGAGCCTAACATCACAAAAGGAGGGAGGGTGGAGTTACTGACCAGCAAGCATTGATGGTGAGGGCGATAACTTCAATCCACCCATGTTTGTGGGGACAGAACATTTTGTATGTATCAGGCTCCTCATGACTGAGAATAATTCAATCAATCTGTGATATAGATTGTTTTCCTACGCTCACCACTCAAACTCATGTTTCCAATATTATGCTGGATTAGCTATTCTACTAAGACAACCCATAACATGCTAACTCGGATTTTTACACTAGGATTGTGTGGCTGGCATCGGAAAAACAAAAAAAGAAAAAAAAAGTTAGACAATAAAAGATGTAGTCATTAATATTCTTAACACTTCACCCTCTATATACACACCCTTCTTATAAACCGCTTTCCTTGTACCAGCCTTGACTTCCTTCCCTTAGTGTGAGCTTACTCCAACTTGTTAAACATCACAACTCATTGTTCTTTATTAGTACATTCTCTAATATGGAGCCTCTGACTTCATTTCACTAACAAGACATAATATGAATTTATTCTAATTTATTATACCTCTGTCCGTTCTACTACAATATGTTAAGCAACGTTTGGCGTTCATATCCAAGTGCCTTGGTGCTCTTCTGTTTCTCTTTTTTTTCTCTTCAGAATCTTGCTCTGAGAGCATAGCTATGAAACTTCTGACGTTTGGAACAAGCTTGATGTACGCGTCCTCTCAAGGTCATAGTTTGCAGCAAGCGCTCTACGATTTCACTTTATAACAACTATAAACTTAATAAGTTGTGAAACATTTCGTGTACCAACAAATGTTGTAATTTATAGATCGTGCCTGTAAAAACGGTGTGTACCTGCAAATGCAGAAATATATTATTATTATTATCCTATTTAGTATAAGTCAGCTGCAGGTACCTACATCCCACAGTTGATGTTCACTTTAGGACACTAACCCAGTACCATTCGCTTCAAACGCCATTGCGTTATTCACTTAGCCGTTCAGTCCCGATAGCCACATGCTTGTGCGATAGGGTAAAGTTATATTCACTTGGTGTTGTTTAATTGTATCTCCACATTGTTATTTAGAACTGCAATTGATCAGCCTCTTGTTGGCATATATGCATCCCGTGCGGACTTCCCCGATAATACCTGAAGTCACAAGCTTTATAAGCAAAGATAGGTGGTGACTAGCAGTGGAATCCAGGACACAATCAATGGAAGAGTGTATGAATTTTGGTACGATTAAACACGCAAGTACGGTGAAACAACCCCTGGTACAACTGGTTATAAATAAAAATTGTTTCCATAACACCAATCGCGTATTTTTGATAAAAGTAGTTTACTACATGATAACAAATCTCCAGTTTATTAAGTGTTGTCACCAGTATAGACGCTTTTTAGAGTTCTGAAGAAAAAAATAATCAGAGTATCTCAAACTATGATAGATGAGTGATGAACCGCAATTTTAAAATTAGGAAAATTAAGCTAAATCATTGTACGTCACACAGAAAAATATTCTTTAGAAAAGTGAAGAAACAATAAAGATGACGATTTCAAAGCAAAATATGAACAGATCAAAATTTTTACGCATGACACATATATTTGGACTGTTTTGTTTATTGGCAATGGCTTCACTAGCTTTGTTATACTGCTTCAGTAATCATTGTTATATTGAACTTACAAAAGACGACGGTTCGAAATCAGACGTTTTGTCTATACGCTCTATACGCCTTTTAGGTTTGGTTGAAAAAATACTGCTAATCACATGTTCAGTAAGCTCTAAACGTGTCTTTGAAGCTGAAGACGTTTACAATTGCAGGTAATCCAGCCATTTGATCGTGCTGTTAAACTCTGGTAATATTTTAAATCTCTGACCAAAGTATAAAACCCAATCTTCCAATTTTGAGGAAAAGGCGCCAGAACCTCAACATTCACCTCAAAACTTGTTGAAGTTCATTTGACTTTGGGGATTTTTCCAAAATTTCTCAAAACGTCCCCAAACGTGAGAAATACATTTACGGCAAAATAGTAAGGCTAGGCAAAGTTGAGAATACCTTTTCTAAAAACAAAATTAAACAGTTTTATCACATAAGGCGTAACATAATCAAATGGTCTCCATGTTCAAAAGCTGGGAAGTGTACTTGCAACTTGTTAGATATAATTCAAGGAATATCTTGCAATATGTTTTTTTATCACCTTATATTTCTAATGTCATCCAGAGTGGTTTAAGGTCGTTTGGTTTTGAGTTTTGACACCCTAAAAATTCAAGTTTAGAGCTTTTATCACCGTTCCAACGTGCTCATTTGTTTCTATGTCTATAAATTTCAGTTGCGTCAAAACAATTGCAGGCACTTACTACAGGTCCACTTAGTCTGATTGAGTTCCTCAGTTTCAGATATATTTCTTCAGCGGCAGCAAAATAATAATACAGAAGGTGGCTTGCTTGCGTACTTTCAGAATCCACTTGTCCTATTCTGTTATTTCCGAGAGTAGCTTGCTTATTAGTTACTTATTATGACTTATTGTGCTTTCAAACTTAGGATTTGGTTCCTTTACAGAAGATTCTGTTGTGAAAAATTACTACACTCTGTGCGAAATTTATTGTGACAAACTGTGATGTTTTGTTCCTTAAACTCTCATCTCCACAGTCCGATTTGACAAAACACATGTAGGTCTCATTACTTTCCTTAATTTTTGATGACCACTATGAACACTACAACATCAAAAGATTTGTACCATATTAGTAAAAAGAGTACAACAAAGCTGTTACATAAGTGAACTATTTTATCCACTCAGTACAAGACACTCGGTAATTTTTCATCACTCTCAATCTGAGTACAAACCAAAACACTGATGTAAATGTGACACTGTCTATAGACTCATAATTTTATTATACTTTATTTGAAAATTAATTCAATTGGTCATTAAAGGGAAGCCTTTGCGCGTTAGATCACAATTAAAACTGTATAATTTATCAATCCAGAAGAATTACTACTGTTTTTTCTAAACACCATCAATTGTACAATCAAGACCCAAGATTTTACCAGTTAAATATGTAAATGAGCATTCCAATGCAGTAAAAATATTTAGATCATTAAAATACCTAGCTATGCCAAAAAGAGGACATCACTATTTTTTTAAAAACTATCAAAAAAAGTTTTCAGCATTTGTCTTGGGGTATCAAGAATTGTTAGAGGTTAACTTCCCTGGTTATTGTCAAGCGAAACTTTAAAAGTCTGTGTTAGATAGGTTTATCGACAGTAGAAAAAGAACTTTTCTTCACTCCTTGGTTTTATGGTTATTGGTCGTATTTGATAAAAACGTTTGTGGAGGCGAGTGTATTTTGTCTTGGTAACCATACCATAAACACAACTATCGATTTGGAAATTGTTGATTGGTCAGATCATTACGTATGGTTGGGTGGTTACTGTTGCTTGATTGTTTAAAAAGCTGATAGCTCATCGGCACGTCAACGGACATTTTTCTTATGGTAATTCTAGCTATCTGATCGATCTGCGCATTTTAATTTTGCAGCAATTATAGCTCTCTAAGATTCTTGTTCTGATTATTATTTCGTTTATTTTTGAGCTTTCGTCATTGCTAATTTCGATTGACTTCATTCGCTATTAGACACAAGCTCGTTTTATGTGATTGTTGAACTTCGTGATCAATTTCTGTTTTGTTCTTCACTCTTTTAGATCGGTACTATTTTGAACACTTCCTCCTCATACGAATTATTTCTAATCTATACGAAAACCGATCAAAGGAAAGACGTTACAGTTGTCCAGATAATTTTACGATATATGTTTTAATTCAGCTGCCATAGTCATTATACTTAAGTGAGTACATATGAAAAGTAATTATGTCATTTAGCGTCTGTAACCCAATGAATTCTTCAAATGTTGATCTCCTGTGCACCGGGACCGAGGGGATGTCTTCATATCTGCTACATAGTAATAACTGTCACAATAGTGATGGTGAAGTACTGGAATCCCTGCTGCAGAAAATCCATGTAAGTGATTTGCAATATAACAAAACATTGTTAGAGCCTGGAAAAAGAACGTCGGATTCTCAAGCTTCGTTTGGAGGCTGTTGAGAGTGATTACGATGCTCAAGTAAAAGAACTACAGACGGATATAATTGCCATGCGTATAGACCTAAAAAAGGAAAAGAAAATGTGTAGACAGATGGAACGTGAGAAAAATACTACTATATCGGAGCTAATGCAACAGAATCAATCTTTAACTTGTCGGCTTAATACTTCGAGTGAGAATGAAGCTCTTTTAAGAGAAGAAATGTCTTCCTTGAGGTTGGAATTTTTAAAGCACAAGTCGTCTATGCAAGAACATGTTCAGTCGATCGAGTCTTTGAGACAAGAAGTTAGTTCTGTAATACTGTTATAATAATTTTAGATCACTAAATTACGTGAGGAGAAACACCACTTAGAAAACCAGTTAAACACCGTTGTCGAGGAAAGAAATAGCCTTCTAGAGTCACTCAATGATTCTTATCAAGAAATAAGAATGATGAGACATGTGAATAACGAACACGTCGCTACCGTATGTTTTCAATTTTGTTAGTATAGTTTTTAGATAAATATTCAAGACGCAGAGATTACAAGACTTCAAGAGACAGCTAGTATACTTCACAACCGGCTCCATAAATTGTCGATCCAAACAGGTGAACAGAAATCTAGTAGTAATGAGGATGATCGCGTGAAACCAGTAGACTCTCAACCACATCGTTCTTTAATGGCTGAACTGGCTGAGCAAAAAATGATTCAAGCAGAGGTAAACATTTGTGATCACAGTGAACAGTTTTGTGATACATAATCTTTGATTAACTCACAAATTTTGTATGGTGTTATTTTGTTATTACTGTGCATACAGTACTGGATTTTACCATTAGCTATACATTTTTAGACAATGTAAGTAGAAACGTTTTAGTCGATATAGTACTCAAAAAAGTACACACTCGAAATGCTAAGGATTAATAAAAAACACCAAATACTAAATCGTATGTGATCGGTCATAAGTAACATAGAACAAAATGATTATAACTAAATTAGGTAACGATCTAAGTCTTATTTCCAACGTGAAGTTAAATGACTAAGGTCTTTTGCATCTCTTATTTAACTCATTCTGTGAATGTTTATATTACTCATGATATTGGTAACCTTCAAGAACTATTAAATTATTATTTAGTTAAATAACTGGTAACAGCTAGCACAAGAGTGCTTTATTATGTGAGCAAACCATTATTATGTTCCTATCATGTGAAATAACTGACATGATTTATTAGGATAAAGCTAAACCATTTAATCCATATCAGAAAGGCTTCGGATAGGGATATTATATATTTCAACTTTCTCATACTAACGTTTTTACTCTAAAAATAATGTCTTATCAATGCATTTTCATAATATTGATTTTTTTTATACGTAGGATAGGACTAATGATTTTTGTTATATATTACGTTATATTTACTTTTGTTGGGGTATGACAGTAGTTAGCGGGTATGTGTTTATATTTTACTTTAGAAATTGCTAATCATAGTCAAAATTTCCTGCTGTTTGTCATCCAATGACTGATCTTATTGATAAAAGTTTTCAATAAAAGACTGCAGCATAGCCACGGCGCTTAGTGCTGACAAGTGTTGAAGACGATCGGAAGAAAGTTGGGCGGATAAACCAAAACGTGGCATCAGTCCATAAAGTCACTTTTCTGATCTGAGCCGTGTTGGTAGATGCAGACTACTTGGTTGGGGTCCACGTAACTATTATGACCAGTAGTTGGAGACTCTGGGTGATATGGCTCAGAATCATTCACATTAGCGTCAGTGTATAGACTCCTTTTCTTCGCTTAACACATTAGATTTGAATTACTTTTTACCTTTATTTTTACGAACTAATTCTTTCTCCCTGTATTATATCATTATAAACAGTCAACTACAATGTACGACCAGTCACATATATGCATCGATCCAAGTTGCCACACCTCATTAGTACAACAAGTTGGACACCAAATTCATAGAAGTAGTTACTTAAACTTGTCACCCCTCGTGGGGGAGTATAGGCGTCCACCAGCACTCTTCATCCAACCCTGTCCTGGGAATTTCTTTCCAGTTCTTTCCAGTTGCTATTCATCCTTTTCATGTTGTAGTGAACAAGAATATGAGCGGGGATAATCGGATGTGTTTGACATGAAATCACAGAGCATCTCACTAAAATCTGAGAATCATATAGCAAATAGTTAAGTTGCAAAATATCAATCCATCGTCTTAAACTTGACTGTGCAAATATCAGTCCATTGTCTCAGATTTCATTGTTTCATGCATTTTCATACCAATTGCGTTCCGTTTCCGTTCTTTCCTTATCGATCTTCTACTGAAATACATTCTATGCCTGACCACCGTTATATACTACTTATGTGAATATAAGTAACCATCACCACAATGTCAGCTTCCAATTCCCGACGTAGTATGTTCTTCGGCCTTCGTCTTTTACGTTTCATTTCAGGATTCCAAATGAGGGCTTGCCTTACGATGCAGTTTGGTGATTTCCTCAATGTGTTTCCTATCCACTTCCAACGTCTTTTCCTGATTTCCTCATCAGCTGGTTTGTCCTACCACACAGTAGGCTGTTGCTGATAGTATCCGGCCAATGGATATTGAGTATCTCGCGTAGACAACTGTTAATGAATACCTTTACTTTTTTGATGATGATTGTAGTGATTCTCCAAGCTTCAGCTCTGTACAGTAGAACGGTCTTGACGTTCGTATTGAAGATTGTAACTTTGATGTTGGCTGATAGTTGTTTTGAGTTCTATATATTCTTCAATTGTAGACATGCTACCCTTGTTTTGCCAATCCTTGCATCCACATATGCATCAGATCCTCCATGTTCGTCGATTACGCTGCCCAAATATGTGAATTTTTCACGTGTTCCAGAGTCTCCATCCAGTGTGATTAAGTTGGTGTCCTCTGTGTAACATTTGAGGATGTTGCCTTTTCCTTTGTGTATATTGAGGCCTACTGATACAGGGACTGCTGCTACACTAGTTGTCTCCATCTGCATTTGTTCGTGTGTATGGGATAGGAGGGCTAGGTCATCTGACAAATCCAAATCATCTAGTTGATCCCGAGCTGTCCATGTATTCCGTGCTTCCCCTCACATATAAAGGTCTTCATAATCCAATCAAGCACCAAAAGAAAGAGAAAGGAAGAGAGTCAGTAGCCTTTTCTGACTTCGGTTCTTTCTTGTAAAGGGTCTGTGAACTGTCCTCCATGCACGAATTTGCACTGTAGTCTATTATATGAATTACGGATGATGTTGGGGATCTTCTCAAGTACAACATAGTGTCGAAGAAGGTTCCATAAGGTTCTCCTGTCCACACTGTCAAATGCCTTCTCATTGTCAAAGAAGTTGATGTATAGTGGTGAGTTACACTCAATTGATCGTTCAACGATGATCCGCAGCGTCGTGATTTGGTTTGTGCACGACCGAGCCCTGAGGAATTCAGTCTATTGATTTCGAAGTCAGGCGTCTGCTGAGTCTTTCATCCGGTTCAGTAACATAGTTGAATACCTTTCCTGGTACTGACAGTAATGTGATGCCTTTAGTTCTCACATTTGCTCATATCTCCTTTCTTTTGTATCATGATGAGGTGTCATTCTTTCCAGTTTGTCGGCACTTGTTCTCCTTCCTAAATCTTCCTGAATAGAACGTGGAGCATGTTTGCAGTTACTTCTATGTCTGACTTCAGGGCTATGCGTTCGCTTTATCTAGCTGTTGTTGATTGTTGCCTCCTTGTTCTTCCTTTCTTGAATCGTGCTCAGGGTTTCGATAGAAATCTATTCCTTATGATGATGCTTGTTACGGCCGAACATCTCCTGACACGTTGAAGTTAATTTTTTTTTGAACCCTTTCTAGTTGTAGTTTCTCCTTTCAGTAGATCCCGTAAATCTTGGAACCTCTTGTTAAGAGTTATCTTGAATTGATTGAGTTTGTTAGTATCTAATCTGTTCAGCGTTTCTTTAGCTCCAGTCTCATCTTGGCCACAACTAGGTGGTGGTTCTCACGTCTTCCACTCTACATTTTCTAATGATGCAAATATGAACTGGTTCTCTGTGGTGTAATCCAGTGAGACCCATGTAGCTTTGTGTATGCGCTTGTGTGGGAATATTGTATGACTGATATGCTGGAACGAAAAGTCAAAATTTCGATTGATTTACTCATTGTTAGTTTTGTTTAACGTTACTTCCGTCTTGATTCAATGTGATGATTATTCAGTGTAGTATTGGGTTTTGTTTTCTCGTATGACATTTTATTCTGTATAACACAATATTCTTGTATTCAATGGACATGAACTATGGTCAGCATATGATTTTTTATAACTGAGTATTGTTTATATATGTGATTTCATCCTAATTACTTATCAAAGTACATGTATGATGAACATATTAATGAGTGTACTTTCGACTAGGGTCGTCGAATTTCGAGGGTTAATAAATTTTCACTTGTACTAGTCTTTGTTTTCTTACTTTCACGTCGTGGGAATCGCAGAGGTCCCTCGTCTCAAGTATAAGTGGTAAGCGTTTCCGACACAACAATCTGCGACGATCAGATATGAAAAAGTAGCATTCAAACAACAAGACATATCAGCCACCTATAATCAATTTGTTGAATGAACACAGATTTGCAAATCTCTCTCCAT